CAGGTCTGGAGGGGGGGGGGGGGGGGGGGTGCTCGTTGACGAGCGCCTGGTGACCAAGTCTATCCATGGGGCCCAGTCGGGCTCTGCCCGAAGGAGCAGCATGGGTTTGCCTTCCTGTGGGCCCACCACCTGCAGGAGGGGCCATAAAAGACTGTTGCATTACACCATGGGATGTGGTCGAAGGCAGGGTCCTTGGCGCCCTGACCCTGGCTTACCAAAGATGGCTCTTGGAACATGGAACTTAACCTCTCTGGTGGGGAAGGAGCCTGAGCTTGTGCCGATATAGTTGGGCTCACCTTAACACACAGCATGTGCTCCAGAACCAATCTCCTTTAGAGGGCTGGACTTTATTCCACCCTGGAGTTGCCCACGGTTATCATGATCTGCGTCTGAGTGTTGGAACCCACGTGCAGGAAGACGCTGAGAGACTCCAGCAAAAATAAGTAATGAATTGTTTTTGTTTTTTTTCTAAATAAACAAAAGAAAAAGCTGTCTGGGCAGCAAACTTACTTTTAGGAGGACACACAGGGGTACAGAGCATGAAGCCTTAGGACAAGGACAATCCAGAGACAATACTACTGACAAGACACCAAGGGGCTGAATCTATACAGACACTAACAAGGTGAAATGAAAGGCACCTGTGGTGATTAGGATCAGACACAGGTGCGACAGTGCTGGAACACAGGAGGAGAGATGCTGAGGGGTGACAGACAAACATGAGGAAAAACATCACATGTATGACAAGACCCCAGAAACCCTACAACGGTGAGAAGCACCAAGCTGGTGTGGGTCTACTTGTAGCCCCCCAACTTGATGCATGTGCGTTGGAGTTTTCCCCAGCAGATGAGAGGGTAGCTTCCCTGTGCCTTGGGGTGGGGAGACAGCTTCTGGCTGACTGTTGCTTCTGCCCACACGCCAAACGGCAGTTAAGAGTATCCAGCCTTCTTGGAGTCCTTGGTGGGGGTGCTGGAAGGTACTACAGCTGGGGACTCTCTATTCTGCTGGGGGACTTCAATGCCACATGGGTAGTAACAATGTGATTGGGAGGATCACGACTTGGAAGTCCTCTCTAATCTGAACTTGAGCGGTGTTCTGTTGTTGGACTTCTGTGCTAGTCATAGTTTATTCTTCACAAACACCATGTTTGAACATAAGGGTGTCCACAGGTACACTTGGCACCAGGACACCCTAGGTTGTAGGTCGATGATTGACTTTGTAGTTGTGTCAACTGATTTGTAGCCATTTTTTGGACACTCGGGTGAAGAGAGGAGCTGAGCTGTCAACTGATCAAAGCAGCACATTGCTAACTGTGTTCAGTGAAGGTAGGGTGCTGTTCATCAGGAGGTGGAAGGAATATTTCTTGGACCTTCTCAATCCCACTGGCACTTCTTCCATGGAGGAAGCTGAGTCAAGGGACTTCAGGGTTTGTCTGTCCATAACTGTGGCTGAGGTTGGTAGTTAAAAAGCACCACAGCAGCGAGGCTCTGGGGGTGGAATAGATTTGCCCTGATTTCCTTAAGGCTCTGGATGTTGTGGGGCTGTCTTGGTTGACACGCCTGTGCAACATCGCATGGACATCGGGGGCAGTGCCACTGGATCGGCAGACTGGGGTGGTGGTTCCCCTCTTTAAAAAAGTGGGGCCAGAGGGAGTGCTCCAATTACAGGAGCATCAATTTCTTTAACCTCCCTGGTAAGGTCTATTCATGGGTACTGCAGAAGCGAGTCAGATTGTTGGTCAAACCTCAGATCCAGAAGGAACAATGTGAGTTCCATCCTGGCCATGAAACACTGGACCAGTTCTTTACCCTCACTTGGGTCCTCCAGGGGCCATGGAAGTTGGCCCATTCAGTCTACATGTGTTTTGTGGACTTGGAGAAGGTTTTGATGTGTTCCTCAAGGTACATTGTGGGGGGTGCTCCATGAGCATGGGAGCATGAGTTGAGTTGAGTAGCAGTATGAGTTTGACTCCATGAGTCGAAGACCACGAGAAGGGAAACGTGTCAGAGGTAGTTGGATTGAGGACAGAGGATGCAGAGGACAGAGATGGAGGAGGATGACTCACTGTGGCGACCCCTGAAGAGGGAAAAGCCGAAAGAAGAAGAAGAAGAAGGAAGCTCCATGAGTATGTATGAGTATTGTTACGGGCTGTTCAGTACCTATTTGGTGTGAGAGTTTGGTTCGCATTGCTGATAATAAGTCGGACCCCTTTAGCGTTTGAGTTGGACTCCACCAAGGCTGTTGTTGTCATCAATTCTGTTCATAACTTTTGCGGACAGAATTTCTCAGTGCAGCCAGGGGGCAGAGGGTTTCCGGTTTGGTGGACTCAGGATTCTTTCTCTGCTGTTTATGGATGATGTTGTCCTGTTGGTGTCATTATGTTGTGATCTTCAACTCTCACTGAGCGGTTCGCAGCCGAGTCTGAAGCGGCTGGGATGATTTTGATTCTATTCTGGATATCACTGCATGGGCTCAAGAACCCTTCCACAAATCAGTATTTTTAAACACCATTCACCGTGTCATTTACAAAGTTTGGTCAAAGCGCTGTGTCGTGCAAAAAAAAAAGAACCCGTTTTAGAACACCATCCAGAAAGGCTGCTGTCGTCTATGTGCTCATTTAAAATCTGTGATCAAAATTTTGAAATTCTCTTTGGAAACAACAAACACCACATCCTCCTTATAATAATGGGAGGAAACATCTGTCCTGATATTGGCACACGAGGTCTGAAAAGGCGCCATCAATACAGAAATGTTTACCTGTTCAAAAACAACACATGTGCACATGATGCTTTTGTTTGTTTGCTTTGCTTGTTTTTTCAGAGAAGACCTTGTATACTACAGCAAGACATTTTAAAAGCTCATACAGCATCAATTAAAACAACATGGCTCCAAAGTAGAAATGTCGGTGTGCTCTCATATAGATATATATATATATATATATATATATATAGATATATATATATATATAATGTGTTGTTGACATCTAATTCAAACTGACCTCATTTTTTAAAATAGTACAATTTCTCAGTTTAAACATTATGTTTACTGTTCCATTGTAAAAATTATGTGTTTCTGAAATTTGCTAAGTATTGCCCTCAGCTTTTATTAACATTCTATTAAATGTCCCAACTTTGTTGGAGTTGAGGTTATAAAATCCACCTGGATGCAGCCTCAGTCTGTCTGCTCTGTATAACCAGCAGGACCAGACCCCCCTCAGACTGGGTGCTGCTGCATAAAGCAGCTCTCTGTCTGGACACGTCACCTTCAGACACACAGCTGCTGCTGCTGAAACATATACACCTCTGCCCCAACATGTCTGACGCAAGTGACCCAAAGATCTCTTGAATTTCTTGCAGCACGTTAAGACCAACATCCCCTCACCCCACCCCCCTTAAAAAAGTGACCTCTGACCCCTGAGATTCTTTATTAGAGCTCTGTGTTGTCGGCCCAGGAGAGCTGAAGTGAGGAGAGCGACGTCGAGCCGTTCATAAGTCATCGATAACTCCCGCTTTCACATAAAGACAAAAACAAAACGCATCGCACTTTGTCAAGGCCAAAGATGGAGTGTGGAGCGCCACTGAAGTTGGGTGAGGGTGTGTGTGTGGGGGTGGGTCAGTGCTTCATCAGGATAGTTAAATGATCTTTTAAGTGCATCATTACCACCAGAATGGTTTCCTTATTTTATTTGACATTGATCCTGCACTGAGCTCGTCGATGTATTCTCAGGGGAACCTTCTGGAGCCTCTTCGTGCTCACTTAACTGAGCTGCATGCTGCTTTCAGCCTGTTATGCTTACAGTTACGCCGAAACATCCCTTGGTGCAGGGGTGTAAAGAGAGCTGTGCCTACAGAATACATTGTATGCAGCAGTCGTGAAGGTGGTGGCTCACTGAAAAGAGACGTGAAAAGATGAAAAGGAAGGGAGCTGTGTTTGATTTATCCCCACCCCCCTCTATGCTAATGCAGCATTGAGCATCTGAGCTTGTGGTGAAGTGGTTGGATCTTGTCAGAATGACTCGTGGTGGTTTGGGCCTTTCTGTGGATGCTGGGCTCTCACCGCTTCCTGGCCCCTCAGACCTGACTTGGGGCTTGTGTTGCAAACTGGCTGCCCTGACACTAGTCTTTCTCCACATGCAGAAACTGGCTGCTTCAATGGAAACCAGCCTAATGAGATTATCTGGTGGAGCACGGGCCAGTCTAGACGCCCCCAATACACAACCCCACCACAACCCTCTAGTACCGATGCCCTCAGGTAAAACTTATCTGCCGAAGAAGCTCATGCTATGATCACACCATTATGGCTTTACACAGTCTTTCCCTCCCGCTCTAATTTGACAGAGAAAGTACAAGAAGTGATGGGGAATTTTAGACACGTCCTCATTAATGTATATCATGTCTGTGAGAGCATATTTGTTCTTATCCGAAAACATTTCTTTGTTTTTTTTTAATTGAAAGTAACTTTCACTCCGTTTCTGTCTATTGTGGTTAAACAAACGCACCCAGTGGCTTTTCTCTGACTGGTTCAGTCCTGTCAGTGAAATTAAAACAGTTTCAAGAACCGATCTGCAAGCAGGGAAGGGAAGTCTGTCCATATTTGTTTTGAAAGTCTCTTAGCAGTTAATAAAGATGCAATTTCTCCGTCCCCCTTCCTGTGGGGACGGTATCAAGGCTCTGTTAGGTCTCTTTGATTTCCAACCTCCTCCAATCGCAGAAGGCACCCAACTCTTCACTGTGTCACTTCAAAGCCTGGGAATGGCCCTCCTGGCCCCACCTACTGCAGGGCTCCCCTTAAAAAGTCATGGTCACTCTCTCCTGCAGCATTTTCTCATCTATCTGTAGCTGTTGGGACTGTCTGGCCTTTCTGAGGTGACTGGACTTTTTCTTTTTTCTTTTTTTGGCTGTACACCTGACAGGAATACACATTTTGGATTTGACCATCATTTGGATTGCTTTAATGCAAAAAGCTTCCACAAAGTTTCCCTGTGCTGGTGCTGAATCCAAAGAATGCAGTCCATCAGGGGTGAGCGCCGCCAACTCTCCCAGCAATTTAAAGTGGACCTTAGAACTTGAATAATTTTTTTTATTTTTTATTTTTTATTATTTTACAGACCTTAAGTCCAACTTCAGCAGCCCTCCTCCTCCCACCTCCATGGCGGCTGCTTCTGAAGCCTATCTCCAGAGTAACATCAGGCTGACTCTGGAGGATCTTGACCTCTGGAAGACGTTCCATGAAATAGGAACAGAGATGATCATCACCAAGCCGGGCAGGTTAGGCAGCTAAAACAAAGGAATGTACTAGTTGTAAAGACATCTTTCCATTGCTTAGTTTCACCCATGACTTGTGTTTCAGGAGGATGTTTCCTCACTGTAAACTCAATCTGTCTGGTCTCATCCCATGTGCCAAGTACATATTCCTTGTTGACATGGTCCCAGAGGACGGTTTCAGGTATAAGGTAAGGCTTTGGTTAACAATCCTCCCAGACTAGTTAACCCCCCCCCCCCCCCCGTTTGTCACCTACCTTCCACCCCCCTTTTCCTGACATTGTACATCAAAGACTGCTATCGCTTCCTGTTTTTCTATCTCCTGCTGGGGGCACACTGCTACCCCCCTGTCTCTGTGGGTGGTATTGGCCCAGCCATCACTCTTTCAATCCATGGTGGGAAGTTGGGCCGAAGTTGCATCTGTGAATTAGTTTTCTATGCAATGGTTCCACTGACGGTCTGCTTCCTCCCTGCAGTGGAATAAAGAGAAGTGGGAGGTGGCAGGCAAAGCAGAGCCTCAACCCCCCTGCAGGACCTACGTCCACCCAGACTCACCGGCCCCAGGAAGCCACTGGATGAAGCAGAGCATCTCTTTCTTCAAGCTCAAGCTCACCAACAACACCCTCGATCAGCATGGACACGTAAGTATGAGGAGAGCAAACCAACAATTTCCAAATGTTTTTTTCTAAATCAAACTTTTATGATTTGATTTTAATCACCTCTACAGATCATCTTGCACTCCATGCATCGCTACCACCCTCGCTTCCATGTGGTCCAGGCAGATGACCTGTTCAGCGTCTGCTGGAGTGTTTTCCAGACTTTCACCTTCCCCGAGACGTCCTTCACCGCAGTCACCGCCTATCAGAACACCAAGGTTAGTTTCTGCAGCAACAAACCTAACCAACCCTTCAGCTGAGGTCTCAACACTAAATTCCCTTTCTGCAGATCACAAGGCTGAAGATCGATCACAACCCATTCGCCAAGGGTTTCAGGGATGAGGGGACTAAAAAAAAAAGGTTGGTTGAATGCACAATCAGGGCAGGTGTTAATATTCAACTATAGATACAAAAAAAAAAAAACTGATTCTCCTCTGCAGGCGAGCAAACAAAAACCAAGCATGTCTTGAAAAAAGAGCCAAGATACCAGACGATCTGAACCAGACCCCTAAAGAGGCCGACTCAGCAGGTACCACTTGAATGCTGTCCAGCTCAGTTCCTGTTGTTCTCTGAAGTTTTACTCAGCTCTTCATTTGTGTGTTTTCAGGCTTCTGTCAGTCGTCATACGATGGTTATGACAAAGATGAAGGAGAGCTGCCCAAGAGGAAAGATGAAAACGCTATAAAGGAAGAGCGTTACTCTCCGTGGGGTGCAGAGAAGCAGCAGGGTGGGAGGACCGACTCTCCTGCTGGGGTGAGCACAAGAGATGTCTACAACACGGAACAACTTGTTCCAGCTCAGGGTTCCTACCAGCCATGCAGGTGAATATTGGTGACATCACGCCACTTAAAGGGAAATCATGTCATCTTGGTACCCAGAAAACTAATCCTCGTCTCTTTTCCCCTTCAGGGCTCACGAGTATGGAAAGTCTCCGTCCCCGCCTTCCAGCATCGGCAGCAACAGCGAGTCAGGACGAAGTCGCTTTGAATCTCGTGTTCCTGATGTTGCCACAGTCCCTGATCACGACTCATCAAAACCTCGCACACACGAAGCAGCTGGTCCCTCTCACTGTAGCCCCCAGCAGCACCTCCCGGGTCCCCAGGACTACGGCGGAGTGCTCAACATGACTGTAGCCCAGACCAGCAAGCCTGGGGTCCTTGGCCACCACATTTACAGCCCCTACAGTGCAGAGCAGCCTCTGGTGGGCCAGTGGAGCGGACCTGGACCTGCCCAGTACCCCCCACACCACCCTCTGACAGCAGACTACACCTCACAAGCTGTGCATCATGGCTATCACCATGGCAACATGACCGAGTGGAGTCAGTACCCGCTGTTCTCATATTCCTGCTGGTGAAGGAGATGACAGACTGCTTTTACCTAACCTGCTGCTGTGGCACTCACAGTTCTGAGACGTGCATGTCCACATGAGGCTGGGCGGGCCCGGGGCCCCCAACTTGAGGAAACCACAAAAAGAAGAGAATTTACTGCTCAGACGATTCAGGAAACTGAAAGCTGGTCATGCTGACTCATTGCCTTGTTGTCTATTTATTTTGTACTTTTTGTCTTGTCTCCTGCATAAATATTATTTTTGTACAGAAAGTAAGAATAAATGTGTAAATTACATGTTTAAAAGCTGTACTGTGAACTGAAAATAAAAGCTTAAAAATGTGATTCGATGCTTTGCCTTTGAATACGCATTTCAGATTTGCAGGAATGTTCAAGTAGGTTCAGTTTGTTGGAAATCCTTTTAGCTCATCCAGTTTCAAAAAGGCCATTTAAATGTAAATAATTTTATTTTTCTCATGTTTTAAAATAAATTAATTCTCCACAGACAATTAGTAAATTTTAGATCAAAGTTGCACACACCCTGTATTTGATTTTGGTTTTCTAGCGTAGAATAGACCTTTGTTGTCATTGCACCTAAATACAATGAAATTTGGGACACAAACACTAACTAAATTTGTTTCTACCACATAAATGCGGCAAACTAAGTGGGGGAATGGTCAGAGGACGCGTGTGCATGCCTCACCTGGAACAGCCTTGACTGTTTGTATTTCCACTAATGGGCTCTTCTCTGTTGTGGACAGGCCCAGCATGCATTTTAGATGCTGTATTAGTGCCGGCTCACCTGCTGAGATTTACCCACCAACACATAAGCACTGCCCGGCCCCCGTTCTCCATGTCAATGAAGCCTTAAAAAGCATGAAAATAGGGGCCGTTGGTTCCTTTGCACGGCTGAAAAACACAGGCAGGACCTATCACCTTCATCTTGAGTGGATATGAGCTGCTAATGACTGCTGTAAAATCCACAGGGTGGGGGGGAGAAGGAGATCCTCCTTCAGGAGTTTAGAGTGGGTTATTTATGACCTCAGCATGTCTCACCTCTAACTTCCCCCATGGGTTCATTTCAGGAGGAAACAACTGACCCACACTGTTTGGTGAGGAAGTCGAAGTGACAAAGTTTAAATTCAGATAATGTAAAACTAATTTATACAAACATCAACCTTCTATAAACCCAGCATAGATCAAATCTCTCGGCTTCCAGCTGTAGAAAAAAGGCCAACCTGATTAAAATATAATTGTGAGTTTGCAGCAAAGTTCTGGTCTGTTACTTTTCTCTACATTAAAAAAACAATTGAAACACATTAAATATTTTATAGTGAACTTTCATTTGTTTAAAAAGCCACACTAACCTAAATAAAAAATAATCTCTGTACATGGTCTAAAGCCATACACGACAGGATTTTACTGTTGCAAGCACTTTTTACATTAATTTGTAAACTCATAAATTATTTACATTGCTCCCAATTGTGTTTTAATGTTGTGATATTAAGTATCAGGTCATTTATTGGTGTCAATATAAAGTATATTCAAATATCTTGAAGGAAAACTGTTTATATATTTTAGCATTCTGGTTGTTCTTGATTCACCGTTTAAGTTGGACTTTATAAAGACAAGATCTCAGGATGCAAAAGGTCCTGTGTGTAAGCACAAATAATTTCACAGTCAGAATTTCTCTCAAACAAAAAACATCAAGCTGCTTTCATGAGGTAGGACTCAATAAGCATCTTAATCATAAAATAATTGTTTTATTTTCCACATGAACATTCTTACGCACCATTGTTGTGATTGTACATCATGTTGAATAGATATCAGCAGAAACACCTAAAGTGATGGTTTAGATCAGATATGGGCAACATATGGCCCGAGGGCCACCAGTGAGCCTTGGACAATTTCCATCCGGCCCCCCAATTAAACAGCTTTTATGAAAACCTGCATTTTATTAATAAATGTTAGATAAATATCTTCTATTTAACTTATTTAAGTAAAAGAACCACATTCCATGGCAGGAGAATAATTTTTAACCCAGTTAACTTGCAGATGGTCACAAGACAGGCTGTTACAGATGTTCAAAGTTGCATGAGAATCTGCAACAGACAGTGTGCGAGAAGTGTTTTTATAATGCTCATCAGCCCTCACAGTCACTGATGACCTCCGCCTCCCAGTTATATCAGATCAGCTCCTCTCTGAGAGAGAAAACGAACACTGACCTCTAACCTCACACTCATGGTTCAACATTAATTTAACATTTAGAAGTGATAAACATCCGTTAACCTTTACCAAAACTCCCCTAACAATAAACCTTAAGGAAGCCTAAATTAAACATAAATAAACTTAGGTTAAAACTTATTTTTTTCAAGTTATTGTCTTTGCAGAACTAAACTGAACCTTAAAGACTCCAAAAAGCAAAATAACTGTTTTATCTTCTTCATTTTAAATCTAATAAATATATTGTCACAAGAACCAGTTTATAGAAAGAAAGTATATCTCATATTCCTAAAGAGGTTTGGGGAGACATATTTTTATTTAAACCACAGCAAAATAAAGTCTGATAAACAGTCTTCCAGATTATCTGTCTTAAAATAAATTTAGTTTCAAATTCTTTTTATGGTTCAACAAAGTCATGTCACCTGGATGTTCATTTTTGTTGTTGTTGAGACATTTCATTTTTCATCCAAAGGACTTCATCAGTCCGAGGAGCCACCAAACAAACTCAGTCCCACAAGCAGCACACTCACATAGTGGGCCAACCAGTTTGACGGTGATAAAACGGTTTCTGGGGCCCACCCTCTCCCACGTCGACTCCTCTGAGGCAGCCATAGCCAAAATGGTTCAAAACATCAAAGTTCATGCTCAGTAATCCTTTTTTTACCTGGATTATTGAGCATGAACTTTGATCTCTATGTGGTTCTTTAAATGCTTTAAATGTCTTAATTCGGCCCTACGAGAAAAAATGTTGCCACCGCTCTGTGAAAAGGTTAAGAACAATTAATATCTTACCTGTTGTAGATAGCTCTTTGAATGGCCTCAGTTTGGAGAAACGTCTGACCAGATAAACAAGCTAATGTCTCGTCTGAATCAGGCTCTGTTCACATCCATGTTGGGTGATTCGACGGCAGATGGACAGCTCTGACCGATGCAGTTAACGCAAAATGTTTGTTCACTAAAATATTTTTGTGGTTAGATGTCACTCAGCCACATCACACAGTGAGAAGACAGCAGGTCTAGGTATTTCTATAAAAATAACACATCTGAACCTTAATATTATTATTATTAACATCTGAGTCACACATTTTGTGACGTTATCTCTTCTATACAACCAGTTCTAAAAACACAACCAGAACAAATTAAAGAAAAACTCACCGGGCAGTGTCTTGACAAACATTTTTATTGAGAAAACTTTCAAAGGAACAAACAAAAAGCTGTATCTTTACAATATTCCTAAGAATGGTTGTTTAATAATCAGACAGAAACTGAGCTAATAGTTTTTTGGGATTTTTTTTTTACCCTGAAATGTTCAAGACTCGGCTGCTGCTTGTGTGGGGTCTTGTTAATTCAGTGTGTGTGTGTGTGGGGGGGGGGGGGATTTGCATTCAAACATTAAGCCCCCAGTATACTCCCGCATACGTCCGTACATGGAGGTACGCGCGTACCTCCGCAGGGCACGTCTGCACAAAGCTCAATATTTATGACTGCGTACGCGGTGTTGCACAATAAACTGCCCGGCGACGGACAGTTTTGTATGCGACACCAATGTATTAAATTCCCCTTCTTCATCCCTGATCTGGCTTTTTCTTTTGTTTTTTTGCCAAGAGGCAAGTGATCTCTTCCTCCTCCATTGATGCCATGACTGAAATGGTGAGAAATGAAGGAATTTGTCACGAGCGAATTAAACTCAGGTCCAGCGTGGCTGCAGGAGCGTCTGGAGATTTCCTGTTGGGCTGGTCTGATGTGTGGGCTGCAGGGCCAACGCTCCCTGTTTTAAAAAATTTTTTAGAACTTTTTATTAACAACATATCAACACATATCAACACCGCTGTGGCTGGAGCTGCCAGCTCTTGTTTTTTTGGTTTTTTTTGACCTGTCAATCCATCCAGTAGGCGTGTCAGCAAATGACCAATCGGCAACCTCAATGTGTCCCGAAGGTAAACACCCCTTGTCTGCAAAGCTGCTCTGCAGCCGCTCAGGGTGTACGCTTGAGTACGACGCCTCAACCCTCTGTGTACATACGCGCGTACCTTCGCGTGGACGGATGTATGCGGGAGTATACTGGGGGCTTTAGAATCAGCTCTTTAATGACATTTTTTTAGCAACTGACTCTGGGGACTGTGTTGTTCTTGTGCTTTTAAATTTAACTGTCACAATTGATACAGTGGACCATGAACTTTTAACTTGAATCAGTGGGTGGGTGTCAGGGGTGCAGCACTGGAGTGGTTCAGGTCATATTTGACAGACCCAACTTTTTGTGTCAGTCTTGGTGACTTTTTGTGTCCTCCACTGCTTGCCTCTCATGTGGGGTCCCCCAGGGCTCGGTCCTGGGCCCACTTCTATTTTCTCTTTACCAGCTTCCACTTGGTTCCATACTTGGGAAGCATGGCATTTCCTTCCACTGGTATGCCGATGACGGTCAGATTTATGTTCCTCTCAAAAAAACAGATCTGCACTCTGTCAATCCATTGCTCAGGTGTCTTGACGACATTAAAGCCTGAATGGCTCTAAACTGTTTAAATTTCAATGAGAAAAAGACAGAAGTGATGGTTTTTGGTGGTACCACTGGCCCCCCTCCTGTAAATCTGGGACTCTTCGCCCAGTTCATCAAGCCCACCGTTACAAATCTTGGAGTGAAAATGGATATGATCTTAAGATTGACAGTCAGATAAGTTCAGTTGTTAAATTGAGCTTTTTCCAGTTACGGCAGCTAGCTAAAATAAAACCCATCCTTTCACGTCAGCACTTTGAAACAGTAATTCATGCCTTTGTGATTACTAGGCTGGATTACTGTAATGTTCTTTA